GGCCTCAGATCACGCGTAAATTATTTTTCCTTTGGTGTTTGTTATTTTATCTTCCGTTTCCGACGGGGTTCAACCTGCTATAAATGTATATCTTATTTTTTTTATCATTTTCAAAGGTTTCTGGCCTAGACTAAAAGTGATGAGAATAAGACCTTGGGCAAATTCTACTTTTGAGGTATGCCATCTTATGTCCAAAAATAGCCGAAATTGGACAATAACTTTTCAAGTGTCCAGGCACCGAACATGTGATCCTCATAGCCTATAGCTTTATTTTATTCCGAAAATACCGATAAGACTCTGAGGAATATTATGGAAATTCAAGAAGAATATTTTCCTGATATAGTATGCCTTGAGTCAAATCATAACATTGTAACCTAAAATCGAGTCTAAACTATCCTATATACCTAGTATACGAACGCTTAATATTGGATATGCTCCAGCTTAATTTTGAAAATGTGTAAAATTGGTCCACGAATTACCCAAATTCCCTATACTATACATAATGAATTTCTTAATTTAGCAGACTTTGTGTCGATTATGTCGGTCAGTGTGTGAGTTAGTTATTTATAAATTGCTTGAAAAAATGTTCTGGAGCATACCTGAGCGATGCCAAAGGTTAATGCAACAAGCCCATACCTTTCTCTGGCCCCAATATAGCCTTTACACTTATTACCGACTTTCCACCTGACTTTAAACAATTCAGGTTGGTTAAAATATGTGGTTTAGAGCTGAATATGAATGTATTTGGTCTATATCTTGGTCTAAACCTCATATGTCATTCACGAAGTTGAACTCTTTCGCTGCATTTTTAATAGGATATTTTGCCAACACCTTCTCCCAGGCTTTGATCCTTCAAATTGCAAGAGTATAAATGTTCGGTTACACCCGAACTTAGCCATTCTTTAGTTATTTATTTATTATCCTATTTTTTAAGTTCGATCAAACTGGACACAGTGTGCAATATTTTATGAAAATCGGTTCAGCTTACCCCGGATTAAACGTGACAGGTAATTATTATATATACATATAAATGGACTGTAAAGTCCCGGGCTTAACAAAGAAACCACGATGTTTTTTGTTCAAAATTGGCTTTATTCATCAATATAATCTCCATCAAGAGCAACACAATCATTTCAGCGCCGCTCTAACATTTCAATACCACTTTTGTAGAACGATTTGAATTTTGCCTCAAAATAGGCCTCAGTTTCAGTGATGACCTCTTCATTCTAGCGAAATTTCTTACCGCCGAGCATTTTCTTGAGGTCGCTGGAGAATAAGGTGGATGCGGCAGTAATACAAAGTGCAATTCATACATATTTGTCATTGCTTTGATAAACTTGTGACACGGTGCGTGTTTGCTACTCCCAAAACACCGAGTCCATAACCTTTCCAGCTGATAGTTCTACTTTCGGGCGCTTCGGACAAAGTGCACCAGCTGCTGTCCACTCAGATGGATCCAGGGTTCATCCATTGTTACATATCGACGTAGATCATTAACACGTTGCTGTTTTTGATGAACACTCAGCAAACGCGGCAGCCACTATGAACAAAGCTTTCTCATGGACAAATGCTTATGCAGTGTAAAACCAACACGGTTTTTTGAAATCTTTACGATTTCAGCTTTAACACGGATCTTTACTTTCCGATCATTCAAAATGATTTTATGGTTTTTTTTTATGTTTTCTGGTATTACAGCCTCATTTGGACGCCCACTGTGTTTTGCATCATTGGTGGCTCTACAACCATGTTTGAAGTCAGCAAACCAACGTTTTATTGTGGTTTCTGATGGTGCGGATTCCCATAACATTTTCGAGCCATTGTTTCGCTTGAACGGTATTTTTTCATATCAAGAAGCAGTGTAGAATTTAAACGTGAAATTGGTTATCATCCATTGTATTTAAAATAACAAAAGTAGCGTCAATAACTCGCAAACTAATAAGTAGAATGTCATAAAATTTTAACAACTGTCTTATGGAGGTTAATACTAACAGAAAATGAGGAGAATTCTATAAAACGACCCATTCCAACGCTTTTCCGGCTATTTTTTGGCACACATACCAATTCGTTAGTTTGATGAACCCTAAGATCTTCGTATACACCACCTAATATAAATTCTTATATTAATATACTGGTATGTATGAATATGAAGAAATATGTTTATCTGAAAGCATGGATCGGCTTTGTAGCATAAAAAGGACTTAATTTTTTGTATATTTGTAAGAGCACCAATGCATATTTCCGAATGTGCAGGCAAAAACTGTTCTGCCAAAAAATCTACATTTTGGCAGGTAATCCAATATAATTGTTTAAAATTTCTATCGCCTTCAACTTTTCTTAATTTGTAATGCTTTTTCTCTCGAGCTTCGTTTTCAACCACTAGCGGGAGTATAATGCTCGAATATAGCATTTGCTCAAATAAGTTTTGTATCATATAAAATTTAGCAAATGTCTGAGCAATTGCTTGGATTTGGACTAATAAATAGGACCCAATAGCTTGCATTTGTAGAAGAGTTCTCTCATCAATTTGATTATAAAACTGGAAAAGAACCTACGCAATATATAAAGGGTGTTTTTTTAGAGGTATAGAACTTTAAATTGCAATAAAACAACGATGGATTATTCGATTGACATGAATTTTATTTATCCGCAAGATAATCTTGAGGCATTACATTTTAAATATGATTTTTAGCCTATGACCGCCACGGCTGGCTCGGATGTAGTCCAATCTGGACGTCCAATTTTCGATGACTTTTTCCAACATTTGTGGCCGTATTTCGGCAATAACACGGCGAATGTTGTCTTCCAAATGGTTAAGCGTTTGTGGCTTATGCGCATAGACCAATGACTTTACATAACCCCACAGAAAGTAGTCTAGCGGTGTTAAATCACCAGATCTTGGAGGCCAATTTACAGGTCCAAAACGTTAAATTAGGCAGTCACCAAACGTGTCTTTCAATAAATCGATTGTGGCACGAGCTGTGTGACATGTTGAGCCGTCTTGTTGAAACCACAGCTCCTGGACATCATGGTTGTTCAATTCAGGAATAAAAAAGTTAGTAATCATGGCTCCATACCGAACAATATTGACAGTAATGTTCTGGCCATCATCGTTTTTGAAGAAGTACGGACCGATGATTCCACCAGCCCATAAAGTGCACCAAACAGTCAGTTTTTTTGGATGTAGCGGTGTTTTGACATACACTTGAGGATTAGCTTCACTCCAAATGCGGCAGTTTTGTTTGTTGACGTAGCCATTCAACCAGAAGTGCGCTTCATCGCATCATAGGATAAAATGAACGTAGTGCGCGATACGTATTCCGCGTTATTCAGGCGAGAGTCCATTCATGATTAATTGCCAAACTAAATTGAGAATAAATCACTTGACAGCTGTTAAATCGGCCGCCATCTTGAACAGTTATGCCTACTTCAAGTTCTATACCTCAAAAAAAAAACGTTATATATAAGAAGGTATCATATTTCAATAAATATACGTAGATTTCTTAAAACTTATGGCATTTAGTGTTAAATATAAAAAAATAGACATTGGCCTAAACCTCATATCGCTAATATAATTTCGATTTTTTACGGTTTTTTCAAATAGTTTATGTTGAGTTCGCAACATGTTGCTACAGACTATTATTAGACTAGTGCAGAAGCCTTTGAAAATGATAAAAGAGAAAAAAATTTCCGATCACTGAAACAAAAATAAAATGACAAGCATCCGTAAATTGTTACGGATGATCTGAGGTCGAGAAAATGTAGGGAGTCGCGAAATATAGAGAGCATATCTTTTTACAGTGTATTTTTGTGCCTAAAATGAATAAAAATGGGTCAATACAAACCATAGCTACCACATACCAGACACAAAATTCTTAAACTTTCGGTTCATTTTATAACATACATACACAAGTATATTGGTCAGTATGTAAGAGATTTTCTTTCTTCAAAATTTAGTGAACGCATAATAATGCACTATCTTATGGTTAATACCGAAAATGTGTAACATCGGTCCACGAATTACTCAAGCTCCCACATACTAAATGCAATGACTATCATTTTTATACCCTTAACAGGGTATATTAAGTTTCCCACGAAGTTTGTAACACCCAGAAGGGAACGTCGGAGACCATATATACATTAAGACCAGAAAGTTTCCGGAAATTGTAAATAAACAGAAAAATTTTTAATCTTCATCAATATTTATTTGGTTGCCTTGAAAATATGCTCCTTCTGAAGCGATACACATATGCCACCTCTTTTTCCAATCATCAAAATATGTCTTGTAGGCGCCATCTGGGATCGCCTTCAGTTTCCTTTGCGGTAACTGGAGTTTGGAACAAAAGTCGCATGGGGCCAAATCCAAAGAATACGGTGGTCGATCAATGGTATTGAACGAGTTTTTGGTCTTAAAATTATTCACAACTATAGCTCAGTGAGATGGGGCATTATCGTCATGAAAAATCCATGAATTGTTGGCCCACAATTCCGGGCGTTTACGACGAATGTTTTCGCGTTTGTTTAATTTAATTATGGTATACCTATTATATTAAATATAGTGCCCTTAAGTTGAGTTTATATCATTAAGTGAAAGTGTTTTCCCGGTTTTGATTCTTGCAAATTGCGAGAGTATAAAGCCTTAGCCTTTCATTTTTGTTTATTGTATGTATATAAGTATTTTTGTCAACGCCGGTAAATATGTCTTCGACATGGATTTTTGAAAATTCAGAGAATATAAAACGTTTGGTTACACCTGAATGTAGGCATTTCTTATTTGTAAATTTAATTTTTTAATATATTTGAACTGTGTCAGCGGAACAAAAATGAATATTTTAATCAAATACAAACGTTAAATTGTACTCTATACATATTCCCTGCATAATATTTGAAAATTATCCGTAATCCAATATCCTACCTTGTCGTGACACTCTTAAATATATACATATTTTACCAATATACGTTGCCACATATTTGTTTCGTTAGTCTTCTATAAATATACTTACATTGATTCCATATTCATTGGTATTACTTGTGAAACAGGTAAAGATATAAAATTTGCATTCCAGCATGTAAAGCTTTTAGTTTCGGGAGAACAGCGACATACTCCTGAAGTGCATCGGTTCCACTCTCTTTGACTTGCTGAAACTAGACGCCAGACTGGTTGTTCTATTGATCTTAACCTGTTTTCAATCTGGCGTACTCGATTTACCATTTCAAGATTTATGGGTGAATTTAAAGCATCCCCGGAACTAACTTTTAACCATCTTTCAAAATCACTATCAATGAAAGTTTTTACCTTTACAAATTGTGTAGATAAGTAATTCAAAACTTCACACGCGCTTAATTTGCAAGTGTTGTTGTGTTGAGTCATTGAAAATTTGTCACTAAACTCGTATCTCTCACGACTCATTTGGTCTGTTAAACCATTGGAAAATTTTAAAACTTTATTAAACGAAAAAATTAGAAATAGTGACAAGTTTAAAACTAATAACCTCCTAACCCCCATTTTCAATATCGTTTGTCAAAAGAATAATATTTGTATCTCCTTATATGCAATATTTAAGAAAAGTAAGAAAGATCTATGTCTGGTTGCAACAGAACATAAGAACTAATCGAACCGATTTTCAAAATATCTTATGTATGGGCCTTCTAAATTTCATAAATATGAATTGATTGATCTTATACTTACCTAGGTATTTTAAGGTCAAGTGGAGTTCGAAGTTAATACATAATTTGCGACGAAATTCTAATCTTTTCAGTAAATTAGCTATTACAAGTATACTTTTTGCTACATGGTGCAAGAGTATAAACATATTTTTGTGTGGTCACATTCATATTACAAGATTCTTTGCAAGTAGTTGTCTAATTCAATTATGGCGCAATTAATGTATATAAAGTGAAATTAGTGCACTAAAAATCTCCCTAACATATATGGGCACACAATGTTAAAAACTTACATGACAGGCAACGTTGAGATTTAAATCTAAAGAAGTAAGGAAGTGCTTAGTTCGGGCGTAACCATAACATTTCTTACTCAGGCAATTTGCTATGATGAAATGTGGAAAAATATTTTCAGGGTTTGGCAAAATTTTGAATTAAAAATGTGGCAATTCAATTCAACATTCATTATTCGCCGAAATCGTCAATAAATTACAATCTTATTTGGTTTCTTACGTCGTAAGTCATATACTCACTTAGTTTCATTACTACATTTTATGTCCAAGATATTACATACAAATGCTCAAATCAACTTAAATAACACAAATGATTGTGTTATATGCTGGGGGTAAGAGCGTAGTGATATCCATACTTTTTATCAGCCAGTGAGACAATCAAAATATTCTCGTTTAGTTTTATTGAGACATCTTCTGTTGAAATAAATTCAAACAAATAAGCAGACACATCGGACACAGCGGAGCTGGGAGAAGACCTGAATTGATTGCATTTGCATCTGACATTAAACTAAAATACGTTAGAGAATGTGTTTCCACGCAATATTATTAAGGTAACGCAAAATTTGTTAGAACATACTTCCCCTAAATTTTACTACGGTAACTCACAATTTGACCTATATATTCACAAAAAGTCCACTAGAATAAAACAAATTTCTATATGTGTTTTATAAGGGCTAGGGTAATTAATGAACAAATTTTCTCCCTTTTCGCCATCAGAGTGTAATATACCCAAGATTATACGTTAACTTAATTTCACAGACATAGCTTAAATACTCGTACTTGTATATACACCATAAAGTCAACCGGAATAATGAATATTCATATATTAGGTTAAGGCACTATTTGATGAAAGACTATACCGATTGAGATATCTTGTTAATACTTGTAACACATGTTTCTTGCCACCATGAGAAGGCTGATATTGCATATGGGCGGAATTGGATCTTTGCCACATACACAAAATGCCATTCATCGAAAACCTAGAAAGTGCCTTAACTAAGCTCCGCAATAAGAGACAAAAATGTAATTTGGTACAAAGAATCTCAAGAGGGATGGACATATGTGGATTGAAAACTTTTGAGAGAGAAGGCGTGGCTTCGCCCAATAACAAGTTTTATGTACATTTCTTCCCAACCACTATGCTTTATAAAGCAAATTTGTTCAAGACAAATCTTTTTATCACCTCCATCGACAAAGTAAAGGTGCGGGAAATCGAATTATAATACCGACCACTCCTTATATAACTGTTATATTGAAAAATACTAAAAATGCGTTAACTCTATAAATGTCAGAAACATTAGGTTTCACACCTCAGATGGTACAAACGGGCTTTATAAAAGCCGGTTACAAAGCAAGTAAAATGTACCATGTAAGTAAAAAGTAAATGTGTTTCTTCGGGGCCCTTTTACAGTACCACGCCAACCCATTAGAAACATGGAAAATGATTCATATAATTTTGCGTTCAGAGCCAAATAAACCAAAAATTATTACGATATGTGAATGCAATTTTTTGTAGAATATTTATTTGAAATATTCTATTTTCATAAAATTGAATAAAACTTTAATTTTTTTAGTATTTGGTTGACAAAGCTTTATTTTTAATAACTGCCTTCACTCTTTGAGGCATACTAGTTAAACAATTCTTTATCATTATTTTTAAATCCGGGTCTTTTAGCCACACATCCTTAATGTTATCTTTGAGTGCGGCTACTGTAGGATTTCTTCGTGAATACACCTTCGATTTAAGGAACGCCAAATAGTTTTCGATGGGGTTTAGGTCGGGTGAATTGCCCGCCCAAGGTAATATATCAATATCGCAGTTGTGAAGGAAATCAGTCGTACGTCGGGAGGCGTGGCAGGATGCCCCATCGTGCATAAGAGTGTATTGGGATGCTGGAGGGTTCAATGTTGCCAAATACGGTACAAAAACACGTTGAAGTAAATTGATGTACTGCTCGCCATTCATAGTTCCCTCAACAAAATAAATTGGTCCAGGATCTTCCAAGGATATGACCTTGGCGATGTCCCTAAGGCCATTTCCTGTACCATTTCGGTAGCCAGACGTATGACACTTTTGATAATCTGATGAGCTATTTCGTTTCCCGGAATGCCCTTATGATACGGAACCTGCACAGCTGTCTTCCGGTAGCCACTACATCTACTGCCTCTCTACTTCGAAGTTTTTTTTTACGTAATACGAAGTGAGATTATTGCCCTAATTGCCGCTTGGCTATCGACGTATAAGATAATAAAATTAAAAATGTTTCCTAAAATACCCTTAGCTAGCTGTGGGTCAACGGCAGCGTCGTCGGAATTATTGGCGGCAAAGTTTAGCGGATATTCAATGGTCAGCAGCACTTGCAGCTTATGCGTTGCTAATATCGATAGATTCTGAGAGTTGAAGTGGATATTTTTTTATATTTAATGGTCAGAAGAATTAATATTTTATGCTTTGTTAATTGCTATCGATTTCGAGAGTTGGAGCGGATGTTTGTTTTAGCAAATCTCTTTATGTTGTTGAACTTTAATAATTTTGCAATTAATTGCATTGTTGAAATGAATATTGCTATGTTGAAATAAATATTTTTGTGTTAACTTATATCTTAGCCACTAGCACCACAAAGCACAAAAAAAGATTGGCTTGTCTACCGCTGTGTAAGATCAATGTATGAGGACCGGTATTGCGTACGATGTCGACCCTAACATCTACTTACATGCAAGGGAATGCTAATGGTTTTTCCAAAAGTAAAAATGAATTAAAAGTTATTCTACACGACAGAAATATTGATATATGTCTGTTGTCCGAAACGCATTTTACGAACCATTCATTTTAAAAATTTAAAAACTATGAATTATATCTCACTCCACACCCAGCAAACTAAGTGTTTAAATGAGTTTAAACTCCCTCCTTCAAGTGCACCACTCTACTCGGGAAAAACTGACACACCCTAGTGAAACACACCACACCTGTGAACACTCAAGGAATTTCACCCCACACCAGATGACACCACACAGGACAACACAACATACCATTTCATTCGTTTTCGTCTACGGGCCTGAACGTCACATCATCATTCGCATATACACCTGATTCGACAAGGTAGGGATCTTACGCGCAACTGTTCGTTGACAACTGTTGGACACCGATACCTCCTGATTTTGATCGCCATCATCCGAAAGTCGTTTCGCGGAATTGTTACTTTGCATAAACATTGTTGTTATAATTTTAAATAAACTTGTGGTTTAACCGAAATGGTCAAAATACTAAGTTCAACGGAAACTTTTATTTTTAAAATTTGAATAGAGTGGGAAAGTTATGTGCTTCCCGATAAATTTGTTAAGCAAATAATCACTAAGCACGAGGGGAGAGTGCGATATTAATCAAAAGCAATATTGAACACTCCGAGGAAGATCCGATTAGAACGGTAGAAAATCAAGCTACAACAATTTCAGTTAAAGTGCACAAACACCCATTGTTTCTTACTGCTTTGTATAGTCCGCCTAGACATAATATAAAAATAGATACGCATATGAATTTATTAAAAAAATATGTCGGAAGGTACATCATGGGTGGCGATTTTAACGCAAAGCACACTTATTGGGGATCTCGTTTAACTACAACCAAAGGCCGAGAACTTCTCAAAGCTACTCATTAAACTACCGAAAATCAACTTAAGTATTAAAGATAGCTCAAACCTTAGCTCTGACCATTCACCCGTCTTACTAACCCGGCACGCCTACGTTTTGTAATAAACATACTAATTGGTATAAATTTAAGAGTACACTGAATAATGTCGACTTAAAGCTTAAGCACACATGGACTGTGAAGCTGAATATTTCACAAATATAATTCAAAATGCCGCGTGGAAGAGCACACCAAATACTCGTGTGAATATAAGTGAAACAAATACTCAAAATATATTTTAGAATGTATCCATAAAAAACACAAACTTCAACGGAGATGGCAGCAAACTAGGTCATCTGCTCTCAAAACTGAGTTTAATAGATGTACAACTCAACTAAGGCCACAAATTTAACAGTTTAAAAATTATTCATTTAGAACTTATGTTGCAAAACTTACAGCTTATAAATCCACTAAGTATTCTCTCTGGAAAGCTGCAAAAAATATGAATAAACAAATAAAACATGTCGCACTAATAAAACTAACTGAAACTTCATGGGCCAAAACTAATGAACATAAAGCTGCCGTATTTGCAAATAATTTGAGAACCTCTTTTACGGCCAACGATGGATATGAGATAAGCTGTGGAAATAGTTGGTTGGATCTACACGTCAGCAATTCTCCAGTTACTAGTAAAGAAGTTAAAAACCTTATCGGGACCACAAGGCTCAAAAAATCACCTGGGTTCGATTTAATAACCGGAGAAATATTACGCAATTTACTAAAGAATTATATAAAGAAACTCGTAAACATTATACACTGTGCATTATGCCAATTCCCATCGCTTCGGAAAGTATCTGAAGTCATAATGATACCTAAGCCGCGTATAGGCCAATATCGATGTTGCCAGCTTTATCCAAAATATTTCAAAATGTTCTCATAAATAGGCCCAAACCAATTATCGATCGTAAACATTTCATACCAGCACATCAATTTGGCTTCCCTGAACACCATTAAGCAATTGATCAGGTGCACCGAATTGTGAGTTTCGTTGAAAATACAATTGATATAAAGAATGTTTGTTCGGCGGTCTTCTTGGACGTGTCTTAAGCTTTTGACAAAGTTGGACATCGGGTCTGCTGCTCAAATTAAAATACATGTTACCCAAACAATATTTCGAAATAACTGCTTCCTACTTAAAAGATAGATACTGCCGCATTAAACAAGTGTATCCAACTCTAACTTGCATCCGATAGACGGGGGTGTTCCTCAGGGAAGCGTGTTGGATCCAATGCTTTATTTGCTTATTACCAGTGACATCCCAGTAGACCCAAGTTATGTAACAGCGGCATTTGCGGATGACACAGCATTGTTAGCAGCTGGAGAAACAACCTTAGTATCTACTCGACGAGTGCAGACAGCAGTCAATGCAATTACCAAATGGGCATCTAACGGGCGCATTAAATTGAACGACTTCAAATCAAATCACGTCGACTTAACATTGAAAAAATATCACATCATAAGAATTCAAAGTACCTAGGTATCACCTTAGATGCTAAGCTTCGCCGGAAAGACCATGTTAAAAAAAGGATTAAGGTTGATATGAAATTTGCTAAACTTTACAACCTAGTTGGCAGGAGATATAGTTTTTCAGTCCAAAACAAGTTGTTAATATACAATCAAGTCCATCAAGAATCAAATTCTACAGCCAGTTTAGGCCTATGGAGGCCAACTATGGGGTTGCTCAAGTCAAAGCCCTGCATTCAGCGCTTTCAAAGTAAGGCACTAAGGACTTTAGTTAATGCTCCTTCGTACATTGGATCTGCTGACCTACACCGTTATCTAGGCGTGAATTCAGGGGTAAATTGTTTTTAGGCAACATTTAGCTTTTAACTATTTTTTTTATTTATTTTAATTAGAAAAGATGCATGGATGCGAATTGCGGCCGCGTCGCATAGTATGCTCGGCCTTCGTTAATTTTCCCGCAGCCCAAGCCAGCTTTTCCTCCTCTTTCTTTGGCCGGTTGAACTTGCAATTAAGTCTTCAATGGACTTTGACTGCTGCTATGTTGATCGCTTTCCCTTTCATCCCCTCCTTTCTTGGTTTTGCTCTAGGCTTAGTATTTATCGCTGAACCAGCGTCTATGCCATCTCACGCCTCTTTTTAACTGAAATTATCTTTGGTCTGAGGACTGTAATATTATAATTCACTGATCAACTTCTTTCCAATAATAATGCGCCCTTGTATCAAACATGTAAAATCGGGTCAATATTTCCCCTAATCCTAACATAACGATTTCCGAAAAAAAAGAATGGACGGATTCCAGTTTCATTTCCGGCGCCAACTATAGTGTATGCAAAATTTTATATTTGCTTGATGTTGTTAAGATTTCTGAAATCTAACAAATTGACATATGTATATTATTAGTCCAATTTTTACCATATTCGGAATCTCGCAATATGTTACACCCAACTGTTGTTTGAAACATCCAGAAAAGGATATAATGTAATTTAATTCTAACTAATCGAAAAAGAAATAAATATATTTGAAATATTTACCGCCTTAAAAGATGTTATCCATTTTGAAGCAAATCATATTGTGGTGTAGAAAAAGGTTCACTTAATTTTTTCAAAATATCTTCACGAAGTTAACGCAAAAGTTAAAAATCAATTTATTTGGTAAGTGAGGCTAGAGGAGGCTTCAATTTCTGAACATGCAACCTTTTTTATACTCTCGCAACCTGTTGCTACTGAGTATAATAGTTTTGTTCACCTAACGGTTGTTTGTATCACCTAAAACTAATCGAAATAAATATAGGGTTACATACATTTAAATGATTAATGACAAAGGAAATCGGTATTGCAGATGGACGTAATCGGCCCATTGCCACGCCCACAAAACTTTTATAAGTTGATCTTACTATTAAAGTAGTAATGAAACTAAGTGAGTCTACGACTTATAATCTATACAAGTATATAATTATCCTAACAAAAAAGTTTGTGTTGCCTTTTTGACTATGTTGCCGTTGACATATATGGGTAATATTAATACCGTTGGAAAGGAGAAGACGTACAGAAGTGCGTAAATTAGTACAGTAGTATACAGAAGTATATTTCGTCGCTGTTCTCTATAAGTTGCAAATACATACTTATATCGGATAATTGTGTATCGTTTACGGCGGATTTATGGTTGCGATTTTTTTCCACTTTTAATTGTGTTTGAATTCTCGTGTTGCAACACGAATTGATGTCGAATGAATTCTGTTACAATTAAATTTCAAGTATTGTTTGTGAAAAAAACATTGAAGTAGAAATAACCTTTGATATCATTCGTTTTATTTTGATGAGTTAGAAATTTTTAAATCAATTCCAAGGGCATTGTATAATAGTTAATTTTTCGAAAAAATTTTCTCCAAGGTTAATTTATGTAGTGGTTGAATCGACAATATCAACTACAACAACGAAATAAGAAATGAATGAATTTTTTTCCGTTTTCTTTCCATGCGGTTGGCTTTTTCCAACTTTCAACAAAGTTGAATTGACAACGTGTATTTTATTTTCGTGATTTAGAAATTTTTAGTTAAATTTTAAGTGCGTTGTTTGATAATTCAACTTTTTACCATTTTTTTTCCAATGTTAATTAGTTCGTTGAATCGACATCAACAGCACTTTAATTTGAGAGATAGTTTTTTCGTGTGTTTTGACGATATCCCCTTACTTCCTTTATTTTTGGCGATTTTTTTTATTTACTTTCAATTTGTAAACAAAATTGTGAACATAATTTGTATGTTGGGCGATATTTATTCCTAATCAGTCATTCATTCAGTTTTTTTTTTTTTTTGGAAGTGTAGTGTCGTCGATGCGCACACATACGTCTATTTCATCATGCCTTACCGTAAATAACTTACAGGGAGAGTACAGAGAACCCGAAATGTAATTAATATGAATTATAAATTCGAATTTTTTTGAAATTTATTTTTGTGAATTGTTTTCTACAACTTTCTTCAGATTTTGTTCAAATTCTTCACAAAATTTTATCACTATTAATATCGTTAATAAAGTGCATTTTTTATTGGTCGAATTTCGACCACTGGCGAGCGTATACATAAATTACGCCCACAATATGCCATTAATCGAAAAATTTTAAAATGCCATAATTACGCACTAAATTAGAATATAAACCTGAAACTTGGTACAGGAAATTGCAATAGAAAGGGGCACTGCACGCACCCATGTTTTTGTTTTCGAGCTTTTGAAGCTGTGCGATTTTTATTACCATATGCACGCCAACACAGTTTCAAACAAAGAGTTAATGCATACATTCTTTTATAGCATTTTAAAAAGTAGGAATACGAGTATACCCGAAATAAACGAATTGAAAGCTCATTATAAAATGTATAATCAAAATTTACAAACTAGAAAGCAGTGCACTTTTTACGTATTTTATATATTATACATTTTCAGCTTAACCAAGAAACACATATGTATGTATGGTAACTACTTATATTGGCAATACACACGCAATGAAACAAATAAAATGGTGTAGAAAAGCATTACAAACAGATAATTTAACATGTTTGAAGATTGGCTGAAGCTAAACTATCCTTAAGAAATACAAAAGTTTCCATACAAGAACTTGATTTTGATCGGTCAGTTTGTATGTCGTCTGCATAACGCTTTCCTTTCATCGGCAAACGCATTTGTCCGAAAAGGTAGAAGCCGCACGGTGCCATATCAGGTGAATACGGGGAGTGGTTGATTGTTAAAATGTGATTTTTGGTCAAATAATCGGCCACAAGCGTCGATCGATGAGATGGCGCACTATCGTGCACAAACGTTAACTTCCATCTCTAGCGATATTCGGGCTGAACATGTCGAATACCTCGCACCAAACGCTTCAAAACTCCAAGGTAGAATACCGCATTAACGTTTTGGCTGGATGGAACAAATTCTTTGTGGACAATACCTTTGGAATCATAAAAACAATACGCATTGTCTTCACTTTTGACTTCTCCAGGCGCGATTTTTTGGGTTTCGGCTCGTCCGGCGCTTCCATTCAGCACTCTGGCGTTTCGTTTTGGGATCATATTGTAAACACTACGTTTCGTCACCAGTCACAATCTTTTAAAGGAAGTTCGAGTTTTTTTTGCCTCTTCATCAAACCTTCGAATGTTGAATTCTGAGCAATTTTTGGTCGTCAGTCAATTTGTGCGGAACAAACCGTGCACACACCTTTTGTAAGGCCAAATGTTCGGTCAAAATGCGATAAATCGCTGTTTTGGAGATGTTCATTCCATGAATTTCAATGATGATTTCAGCTGATTTTTTATAAATTCACGCACAGTTTCGATGGAGTTTTTGGTGATCACGGATTTTGGTTGGCCCACATGTTCATCGTCATTTATGTCCTCACGACCACTTTGAAAACGTTGAAACCACTCGTGCACTCTTCTACGGGATAGGCAATCATCGCCAGAAACTTGTTTCATTAATTGAAACGTTTCGGTAAAAGTTTTACCAATTTTAAAACAAAATTTAATGTTGGCTCTTTGTTCGAAGTTCATTTTTGCACCGATGACAAAAAACATACTGACACTTAAAACGCAATAGCTTCACTTCCAATAGATGATATGTCATGAAATTTTTACTGGAAGTCGATAAAGGATATCATATTCTAACGCACTAGTCGACATATAGATGGCGCCACTAGAGTTTACTTTGTTACTTTTTTACTGTTTACTTTGGAACGCACCTTGTACAGACAGACAAACGGACATAGCTAAATCGGTTCAGCTCGTCACACTGATCACTTATATACATAAACACATATTTTATAGGGTCTCCGATGTTTCGTTCTGGGTGTTACAAGCTTTGTGGTTAATTTAATATCCTCTATTAGGGTATAATATTAAATTTAAAAATTAAAATATATTAGCACATATGCAATTCTCAAGTTATGCACAACATTAACATAACAACAAGACAATGATTGTATTGTATTTACAATAACGACTTTTTAAAATAAAAAATATAACTTTTTAAAAAAAACATTATACCAAATATGTTTGTGGTCTTTAATTAACATCATTGAGGGCTCTATTGTTCAATCAACCTCCAGCTTTCGGAAACTTCCTATAACTCCACCATCAATGTCGCTAATAATCTTTATTGATGGGCTGTTACAGTCTTTAGTTAATTCAATGCACATTTCATCAAGGGCTAATATAGAAGCTCGTTTTTGAAGAAGTTTCAATTTAAAGTCCTTTATAATATCTGCCATAGGAATGCTACCCCCATATTCTTTTGGAAGGATTTCAGGTTTAACTCTCTCTTTCAATGCATCCACCGATTTGTGTATCTTTAAAGAAATATAATTAGTGCGAATTACACATCAATATACATTAGAACTTACAGTTATACGGTTTTTTAGTTTTTCGCTAAGTAATGATACTCCTAATTCGATAATACGGTTCGCAAAATGTGGTATATTAACAAAATGTGTTGCTTTATGACGCATTGGAGTAGAGTTCTATAAATAGAACTCAATGAAATTTCATACTTAGTTAATTAACATTTACTTACTTGTATACATTTAACCATATTTCTTAAATCTGAAAGAGACCAAAGACTTGCAAAACCCATATTTATCCCACTTTCATCGTTAACATATACATAGCCAGCCACTTGTGACGGTTCATCATCTAATAAACCTTCACATATCAATGAGTGCACACGCGCCATCTGAGCAGAAGTGTATTTATATGGATCAAAATTTTTTGCCACCGATAGTATTATTTGTCTGCCCTTATCATCCCTCTGTGGCAGGGGTACTAGGTACCCGTTATTGAAAATTTCGTTGATAGTTGGATCCAAAATATCTAGATTTGAAAACCATTGTGGGAATAATTGACGTATAGTTAAATACCGTTCAAGCATTTCACATGCTTCCGAAACAGAGAACTTTTTTGTTCTTAAAAATCGTAGTAAGAAAAGGGAATCTGTACGACACTTTTTGATTCGCGGGTGCTTCGATATCCATTCACGAAACTGATGTAGGGCTTGGTGGCGTATATTATCATCTTCGTGCAGTTCTGCTCTTGCGATTAATTTCAGCGCTGGACTTAAAGAACATAAATAAGGATCAACAAATTCAGAAGTTTCATATTCGGTAGCTTCGGATTTGTGCTTTGTTTCGGCTTCCAACACTGGAAAATGATATAAAATTATTTAGATATTGCAGTTATACCTGTATATAAAAAAAAATCTACTATAGTAAACTAGGTTATAGTAAAATAATATCTAAAATCTTAATTTCAAACTTACATACCTTAGCTAAGTTCGGATGCAACCAAACATTTTACTCAAATTCTTGTAACTATTTTAAGGTTTAAGGAAGGGCAATATTCGGGTGTAACCGAACATTTTATACTTTCGCAATTTGCAAGGATCAAAGGTGGGAAAATACTTTTCGGTAAACGATAAAACTTGCGTAAGAATTTAACATTCGTTATTCGATGCAACGTGAAAGGATTACAATCAATTTTCGTATCTTATTAACTTATGTTTTAATTATTATGGGTCGTAGACCCACTTATTATACATTTGGATAACTTAAAAGTAATAAATGTGACGCAAATTCAATGAAAGAGAATAAATTTAGTTTATTTGGGTAACCTATGAGGGAAAGGCCAACAAAATAATCGAAAGTCATTATATTAGAAATACAAGGTTTAGAACAAGATCTAGGCCAATTTCACCGCTAGGAGAAAACCAGGACTGATTGCATTAAGTTTTGTCATTACTCAAGTGTACTCGATTTCCAAGTGATTTTAGGCTAACTCACACACTGACCGATATATTCATCATAAAGTCTGATAGAATACCGAAAATTATGATATATTATATATGTAGATTATGGGTGTTGGTTTAGTGCGTGGACCGATTGCACATATTTTCGGAATTAAGCTTTAGTATATCCAATATTATACGTTCACTTAATTTTAATAAGCCATCTTACTAATATACAAATATATAAGCTATAAATTCAAACGGTGAGCGTTACAAGTGCTCATTGTCCAATTTTGGCACTGGCTCGTATGAAGCCCGTCCGTACCATCTTGGGTGTAAAATTTAATGTCTATGATATGTTTACTTAGTGAGATATCGCACTCCTAGTAGTTTTCAATATAACGAATATATGAGTGAGTGCACTTGGTTATCATCTGATTCACAGTGTATGAAGAGGTTCTACAGAGATGTGTTCTTAGTAAGTGTGGTTAATATAACTGTAGACACTTGTGAGATATGTACATTAAGCCTATTAGGACGAGCTGGCTTTTTAGCAATGTTTAGCTCCAAGATGCCTCTCTCTAATTCGACCCCCTGTGCCAAACTAAAGTTTTGTATCTTAATGTCGAGCTCAGCTTTTAACACTTTATAAGTAACTGCATTGTGTGGCAATGGCTTATACCAAGTTTCATGAAGACATCTTAATTTTGACTTAAATTATCGCTTGCACGGACGACAGACCCTCAGAATTCAACTCGTCTTGTAATTTTGATAATTTTGAGAGTATAAAAATGTTTCGTGTTAATATAATATTGATATTTTCTTGAAATTGTAAATAATACATGGTATACAAAACCAAAATTAACAAAATTCAATATTTAGAAAAGTCAACCGGAGGGGTGGTAATCATTAAATTAGGGTTATTGCGGCTAGACCGACATCTGTTTCGATCATAATAGGTATCATTTTATAAATATTAGAGCATGGGGAAGGTCTGAACTGATTTAAATTAAACTAAATTATGCTTGAAAAAATATTCACAAACAAAGTAAGCCATAGGTACTGAGATGTTACAATTAAAGGCTATATTAGGGCAAGGTTGAAATGGTAACTGCAAACGCAGTTAATTGTCTTAGTTCAGTATAAATAACCTAATATAGTTTTTACAACTAATAAAATATTTTGTTGGAATATCGCTTCATTGGGCTTATTTTTTTATCGACACTTCTTCATTTATGATCCTATCCGATTATGCTTTGGTATTGGCTGGGATATTCAAACGTAAATTTGTCCATAACATAGGTGGGGACGGAAAGTAGACTTATGATGTTATTGAAAATAACTTATAAAGTATATATATTGCTAAAGAATTTTTGTTTAGCCTATCTAATGGAATTTTTTTAAGTTAAGTGCTCATGACACTTAAAGCTTAATTTATTATCAGAATATATATCAATGAATTTACTCACAAAGAGAACACCGAATACGAAATGAAGTTATCTTAGTGCTTCGGTTCTAGCTGTTGAAGTGATTTTATTTTCCAAGTGAAGTACTGCTGTGGAAAGACGTATTATATTATGTGTACAACATGGAAAGTATTTTCAGCTTTTCTTTGACGATTTTCGGGGTAAATTTATCGTCGGTATATTAAAAACGATATGTGAGCAAAAGTGACAGCGATTTCTGCAAAGTCGGTCAGTTTTTATTCAATGGGTGTTACAGAAGAGTGAGTAATACCATTTATACGTTGAAAGTTAGAAGAAGATGAAACATATCATATAAAAATGTTATCACTTCTTTTTCTTTTAGTAGCCTTAACACCTCTCTTACAGTATGAAAGATTTGGAACTCATAAGGTCTGACAAACTTTAACAACCGTTGACCAGACTTTATGCGAGCACATTTACTCACCAATCACGAAGCAGTATACATTAATTTTAGGGCCAAGAATTCAGCGAATTTCAGGGTATTGCGAAACAATTCACCATTCATTATCGTAAATGGATTACAATCAAATTTGATATTCCATTAAGTTTTTTATAGGTCAAAGACTCATTTAGTTTTATTATTATATTATACTTCACGTCAATCTTCTTTAAATGAGATGTATGTGATATAAACTGAACGGCAGAAGTTAAATTTAATATAATGAGTTGGTGTGATAACATCAACCTGAGGATCACAATTCATTATATTAGGGATATAAGGTTTGGACCAAAGTCTAGACCAATTCCATTCATATGTCCACACAGTTTTAAGAAAACTTGTTCATTTAATTTTATTAAAGTATCACACATTTTGTCAGGTGGAAAGCCGGAAATATTTTCAAGCAATTTTATAAATATATACATAATAATAACCGCAAACCAATGAGTGCGGAGTTAGCCGAGCCATGAAAGACAAGAGATCTAAAACTACTCAGCTATAAAAACAAAAATTTCAACAGCTATGATTTAATTTAGTAAAAAAACGTCTTTTTAATTTTAGAAAGTGAGTCACACAAATAAAATGTGCAGGAATGAGAACTAAAATCATGACATATGCGGCGGAATGGTTTGTTCAGTTCAAAACTTCGTCGAAAAGCGAACCGGAATATTAAATTCAATTTCAGACAAGAGAAAAGAAATGCAACCTGTTCCATTCAGGATTTTTTATTAAGATTATTATGCCAAGCATTTCCTTACGACTAGTAAGTGTAGGTAGAATTATCAGTTTTAAACGACTAGCGTATAGAGTTAGACTTAACCTAGAATCCCATCGGAAATGCCTTAAGGCGAAATTAAAATTTGATTTTAACATGCTCTATCTGGTAACTAGGGTTTCGTACCACAGAACGATATTCCAATATAGGCCTAACCAAACTTATAAAAAGAGTTTTAGTAACATACGGATCTCTAAAGCTTTAGGCGAACGTTTAACAAAGAAAAGAAAATCTTTAGCTTTCAAAACCAATATTTAAGACTCTTCCTTCGGAATATAAACCCGCCCAGTCCCCATATAACGGTTTTGTTAAAAATTTAAATATATATGTATGTATATAACCCTATAACTATCTCGATTAGTTTTAGGTGTTACATACTACCGTTAGGTGAACAAAACTATTATACTCTGTAGAAACATGTGGCTAGGTTGTAACCAGCAGTGTGTCTCGGATATACATCAAGTTTTTCTAATGATTATCGTCCGTCATTGTGAAAGAAAGACATCGTTCAAGGTAATTTGTATGACTGATGTTATGTCGATAAAGTGGCAACACTTCAAGCTCTTAAGCTGTAATTTTTTGGCTGTGAACTTTTGTGTTTTTATTTTACAAAATTCTTCAATTTTAATTGATTTTTTTACTGATTTGATACAATTTTTAGTAATTTAACTCTGAGTTGCAAGATAAGTATTAAATGCCCTTAAGTTTTGTGCAGTATAAAAAAGTTTAAACTTTTGAATTTTTGGTGCCGAGTCAGCTTTTTGTTTCATTTTGTTTTATTTTATTCTATTTTCTCTCTTTATTTATCTCATTTACTTCTTTATTCACAGCTGTGTTGCGTTTAGCTTATTATTTGTTACAGTGCTTCTAAAACTGCTCGCTATATTGCTTTTTAAAACTGTCTTGGTTTTAAACTTTGATAAAAAAATTGCTATTATTTTTGCGTTCTTAATTGAATTTATTATTATTAATATTTTATTAACACACTAATTTATTATATATCTATTAAATTTTTTTCTACTTACTCTTTTATTTGATCTTCATTCTTGTTGTTTATTATGTCTTGTAACTTCCCCAATTGTAACATTAAAGACGAGTCAGATCGCTACGTTTACCCATAATAAATGTGCTGGACTGGACGGCTTTCCCATATTAAATGTGCTGGACTGACAGGTAAAATCTTAGATTCTATTCTCGACTGTTAGAGATTGCGTTGGTCCTGTTTAAATTGTAGATCTATTGAAATCGATCTATTTAAAGTTTATAGGGAGACATGCAATGGCTTTAACGAAATCCGTCGAGATCTTGTAACCCTCACTGAAAAATTTAGGCACTATGAAAAATTGTTCAAATCTTTTAAGTGCCTGAATGATTCTCACGAATCCTCTAAACCTGCTCCTAAGCGTAAACGTGCTTTCGATGAAGTAACACTTAGTTCTTCTGTACAGAAAAGAACGTCTTCTCCCAATGACCTAATAAATCTCTCTTCTCCTTGACCTCAAGGTGATAAGCCGTCAACTTCCAAAGAGCTCAATTCCCCAATATCTATCTTATAGTAATAAGTGTCTCACAATTCCAGAGGCCCCCTAATAACTTAGTAGCATCAGTTAATAATTTGATAGTTATTCCACCTAAAAAGTCTATATTTATTTCGAGACTTGCCAAAGATACCTTGGTCGAGGACATTAAATCTTACGAAAATGTCTCGTTTAAAAATCGATGATATCAATATCCGTAAATTTTACTTGAATTATGATAGAAGTATATCGTCGTTTAAAATAGACGTATCTCTAGAAACACGCGAATTTAAACCTAAACTTAGAAGTCAAACTGAGGAAAACATTGTTAAATTACCAAAAGCAACCACCGATATAAAAAACTGATTGGTAGAAATTCGCTAAGCATTTATTATCAAAATGTTAGAGGTCTTAATACAAAATTAGCTGACTTGTATTTGAACAGTTCCAATTTTAATTTCCATATAATTGGATTTACAGAAACTTGGTTAAAACCTCACATTTTTGATAATGAGATTTTAAACAGCGAATTTCAAATTTTTAGATATGATCGACTGAACAGAATCGGTGGAGGTGTTCTATTTGCCGTGCATTCCTCTATTCCATCTGAAAATGTTCTTGTTCCAGGGACCGACTCATTTGAATTTAAACGTATTAGAGTATACGTTAATAGTTGCTTTATTTATTTAACCCTATCTTATATACCACCCCATTCGGACTTATCTGTATACATGCAGCATGCTTCTTTAATAAATAGTGCTACCTCGATGGCAAATAATGCAGATTCAATAATTGTATTAGGTGATTTCAATTTACCGTGTGCATCGTGGAAACCTTTCGATGACTATATCGTGCCGATTTGCAATCGGTCATGTTTTAATGAGTTTTTCGAAAAAATGTCCGAGTTGGGTCTGAACCAAATTAATTTGATTCCGAATAAGTTTGGTAAATGCTTAGATTTAGTATACGTTGATACCTCTTCAAAGTGTTCCGTTATTCAGAGTAATCCTCTTGTTCTACCAGAGGACTCATATCATCCTGCTTTGGAAATATCTGTCGAAATCTCAGGCAATGTAAGGGATAATAATCATCAAGCTTCGTGCTTAGCAAAAGCTAATTTTAAAAAGTTAAATACAGAACTTTCTACAATGACATGGCCTAATTATAATGGTGAATTTAGTGTCTCTGATTTTAATAACATTATTACCAAATTATTTGAAAAGTATGTTCCAATAGTAATTGTTAATAAAAGTAAAAGTATAAGTCCGTGGTTTTCGAAATATATATTGAAAAATATATATAAATTGAAAAACAGAAAAACTCGAGCCTTTAAATATATTAAAAAAACTGGTTCACTTGTCGACTATTCTAAATATTCTGTATTGCGTCGACAATATTTTGACCTACACAAAATATGTTATAATAATTACTTAAATAAAGTAAAAAAGAATGTTGTAAGTAATCCAAAATCGTTTTATGATTTCGTCAACTCCAAACGCAGGATTTCCAAATTTCAGTCCGCGATGAAATACAAATCTATCATTTCAGGTGAAAATGATATTATATCCAATATGTTTGCAGAATTTTTCAAGTCAAACTACTGTAATAATTCTTCCAAAACTGTTTCTTATTACCACGTGCTGTGTTCGAATACTTTAATTAACGCTCCAATTATTTCTGAAGAAGACGTCCTTTTTAATTTAAATAAGTTAAAACCATATTTTAGTTATGGCCCAGACATGATATCCTCATGCTTCCTAAAAAATGGTGCCAAATATATTTACTTGCCTTTGACAAGGATATTTAATTCCTCTCTTAAACACGGTATATTTCCTTCAATATGGCAACAGTCATTTATAATTCCTTTGCATAAAAGTGGACTTAGATCCAACATTGAAAACTATAGAGGTATCGCAAAACTATCAGTTATACCTAAACTTTTTGAAGCTATCATCACTGACCATATAACCTTTTCGATTTCTCCGTTAATTTCCTCATCTCAGCATGGATTTCGTAAAGGGAATTCGACTATAACAAACTTGCTTGAATTTGTAAAGCATATACCATTGGGTTTTAGGGAACATAAGCATACGGATGTTATATACACAGACTTTAGCAAAGCTTTCGATAAAGTAAATCTCTCGATTCTCATATATAAATTTGATTTGCTGGGCTTTCAGCCAAGATTTCGTCAAAGCTTATCTTCCTATCTTTATAATAGAACATAACGAGTGATATTTGAGGATACACCTTCAGATACAATTAATGTTTCTTCAGGTCTTCCGTAAGGTAGCCATCTTGGCCCGATTCTGTTCTTGTTGTTTATTAACGATATCTCTTCAGTAATAGAATTCTCAAAAATTTTATTATACGCTGACGACGTAAAGCTTTTAAAATCATACACTTCAACTGAAAAAAGGTGTCTGTTGCTGTCTGACTTAAACAATTTGGTTGCATGGTGTGATAGAAATGATTTGCCATTAAATCTCAATAAATGTAAGATGATGTGCTTTTCCCGTAGATCTGTGCACCACTCTTCTTATGTAATAAAACACCATACGAGTTTTTAACTATGTTGATTTGGGAGTTAATATGGACCCTAAGCTTAATTTTAGTCTTCATATTGATACCATGGTCTTGAAAGCAAAAGCTGTCCTCAGTTTTGTTAAACGTTGGTCTAAAGAATTTAGAGATCCGTATATTACTAAAACACTTTATACAACTTTGGTTAGACCTATATTGGAATATGGCTCGGTTGTATGGAACCCTAGCTACCAGATCCATTCTGACAAGTTAGAGTCTGTTCAAAAACAATTTTTACTTTTCGCCTTAGCGCATTTCCGATGGGATTCTAGAGTAAGTCCACCTCCATACACTAGTCGTTTAAAACTTATTAATCTACCTACACTTTCTAGTCGTAGGGAAATGCTTGGCATAATATTCTTGGTGAAAATTTTGAATGGAGCAGTTTGCAGTTCTTTTCTCCTGATTGAAATTATATTTAATATCCCGGTTCGCCTTTCGAGGCAGTTTAGACCTTTACTGCTAAAATCCTGTAGATCAAATTTTGAACTAAACGTGCCATTCCGCCGTATATGCACATTTGACTTATCTGACTCACTTTTCAAAATTAAAAATACTTTATTGTTTTCTCTTAATAAATGAAAATGTAACAATTTATTATATTGTAACTTTAAATCTTGGCTGTTGAAATTTTTGTTTCTGTAGCTGGGCAGTTTTAGATCTCAACACTTAAAAAACTCTCTTGCCTTTTCTGACTCGGCTAATTCCGCACGTATGCGGATTGCGCCCCTAGCGTCGGTTGGCGGGAGGAGGGTAATCGTTGTGTTATTATTATTATTTATATTTTCTTCAAAATGGGTTATTTTTCTTTAACAGGAAATTTATTTTTATGACAGTGACCGGATTTTTAGATACATATATAATATTACCAATAATTCCAAACATAATTTTTATATTGTATTGTATTTACTCACATAATACCAACCAATGTTTAGTATTTTTTTATTATAGATTTTGTAAGTTGGCAATGAATGCATTCACTTTCACTTAACGCCAAAAAGTGTGTCATTCAATACTTCACATGTTTACACTACATTTACATGCGCTTGCAATGTTTTTGTAATTATACTAAATGGTTACCAATATATACATAAATTTCAATATAAATTTAGAGTTTGGTAGCATGTACATGTTTGTAAATATAAAGAATGTAAATGTAATAAAATAGTGTAGTTTTGAAGTGCCATAAAGTATTATAAATTTGGTAGCGGAAATTATGCGTGTATTCATGGTTGTGAGATGTTAAGATGTAGACTGTGTAGTAAGCGATTAATTCAAATCACTTTTACTAATACCTTATTAAATACCTATTTATCAGATATATTTATAATATAAGAATGCAATCAACTTTACTTAGAAAAAGTTAATTAGGTAAACTCACTTATTATGTAATAATTTTGGTAGATTTATAACCAACGCTTATTTTCGGGTTTAAGAGGACAACACTGTTGTTTAAATAGCAATCCAAATGAAACTAAAGTCTCTTTTTGACTTTAAATTTGTTTGAACATTATATGTACATAGTTATCTTAGTGTTAGTTCATATACAAACTTAAAAGTTTTTATGTCGGGTATATATATTACCAAATTCACATTCTTTATATACTGATGGATTCACCTTAGTTCACATGTATATATGTTATAATAATTGTTGTATCTCTGCAACTAAAATCCGTCAATAATATCATGTTTGTATTCCATATGCGTGAACTTACATAGTTTTCACATACACTTTTATAATAATTTGACTTAATTTGCTTGGTAATAACAGATACGCAGCAAAGCAAACAAGTAATCTTTTCTATGATTTATTTTACAAATAAATGGCAAACATATTTGAGTTTTAAATAAGTTTTTTAGAAACATATGTAGCATAACCTATTATCATTTCGTGCGAGACGGGGTGCATTCCCAATACGACGGAAGGTCATATAAACAATATACAAGTAGACATTATTTTACCCTGAACAGGGTATGTTAAGTTTGCCACGATATTTGTAACACCCAAAAGGAAACGTCGCAGACCCTAAACAGAATATATATAAACGATCAGCGCGAACAGTTGAAACATGTCCGTCTGTCTGTATACACGCGAACTAGTCCCTCAATTTTGGAAAAATAAATCATGGATTCTGCATCACGATAATGCACCATCTCACACATCAATGCTTATTCGAGATTTTTTTGGCCAAAAACAAACCCGTAATCATGCCTCAACCACCGTATTCATCAGATTTGGCTCCCAGTGACTTTTTTGTATTCCCAAAACTAAAGAAACCAATGAAAGGAAAGGGTTATGCCGCAATTGATGAGATCAAGTCAGAATCAAAGAAAGAGCTGATGGCCATACCGAAAAGCGCATTTCAGAATTGCTTCGACGATTGGAAAAAGCGTTGGCACAAGTGTATTATATCTAAGGGGGACTACTTTGAAAGGATTAAAATAGATATTGCTTAATTAATACATTCTTTCCAAAAAATTTAAAATCCACCTTTTCCTTTGAACACACCTCGTATGCTACTTGGTTTTAGTATAAGCGTATTTTGAATAGTTTTTCTTCTTATTTAAGTTTTTTAGGTTTTTAACAAATGTTATATGTAATTTTCCCGTTGCAGAAATTATTATTCGTATTTTTTAAATTCCATTTTGATTCCAAATATTTTTAATTTCTTGGGCGAGTTCGGTGTATTTTTCTATGTATTTGCTGTGTATGTTATGAATCTTAGGTATGCTTATTACTATCAGTTGTGTATATATTTTCCTCCTTATCTGTTGCATGGCATTGTCCTGTTTGTATATGTGGTTTTATCAGAGTATAATTTGAAGTTTTCGTTTTCAAGTTGTTTGTGTTGTCGATTGGTAGTATGGTGTTGTGGTAAATACTACGTGTGACTGTGTGTTTCTGCAAGTATTGGACATTTCCGGGTGTAGATAGATTTTTACTAATGTGCTTATAATAATTTCTAGTCGCTATCATAAAACCCTATCTTTCTAATATTTTAATTTATTAGGAAGAATTTATGCAAATATAATATTAAGCCTAAGTGCTAAGAAGGCAAGCCACTGACTCCGAAAAACCAATACCTTTACTTACTGATGTGTTAGATTCAACTATCCAGGAATCAGAGTAGTAATTTTTTTAATTAAAGGGTTAGTATATAGTGTTGAGTTTCTATCATACATTAATCATTTATACTTCCCAACTTTTGTTCACCTAACGTATGTTAGAGGACGGACACTTAAAACTCTTAGGGATAATGTAGAAACCTTCCTGTACCTCAGATGTCTCGAGCGCTCGAGTCGCACACTAGGAGCGTAGAGTTTAACTTAAATCAAATTTTTATCGAAACTGTATTTTTTGACCTGGTTGACACGAATCCAGCGGATCTACTGAACTGATTTGCTTAAAATTTTATTTAAAGGTTCAGTAATGAATTAGCACGAATTACAACCATCATTGTCCTTCGCTATTTAACAAAATTATAACACAATGGCAAAAACAGGCCGAAAACTGAAAAATAGCTCTACTTGTTTATTTATTAATATTTTTTTACAGTTGTAGTTCGTGCGATAGCCATTTCAAAATGAAGTATGTTTCGTTTATTTCAGATCATCCAAAATCGAGGAATGTGTCAACCACTACTCAAAATGGCTACTTCAGTCGGCAATATCTCCAACGGATCTTGACCAAAATGGTCGAATTTTATTTTATACTTCATATGATGTACCATAACATGTATAAAAACCCATAATGTCCGATACAAATTGTGCGAATCGGACTTTTTTCCATAAGAAAGTCATTTCTACCTGGCTCCCCCTTAATCGAGACAAATATTGTAAAAAGTATATATTTTAATGACACGACCACTAAATACCTTAAATTGAAAAAATATAAGGTGTTATAACTTAGTCACAAATTATTGTGGTTAAACATTTTGATAAGTAGGTATCTCCCTTCTCTCTATTAGAAATATACATGTCTTATAAGAACAGAAACTAGTTGATACCAAAGGAAAATTTCTTCCCAAATGGGCAAATAGGTAAAGTCGAATAATAACCCTATCCACCCCCATATAACGGTAAAGCTTAAAACTACCAAAAGTACTATAACTCTCTAATATAAACTTCATAAGCATTGTAAATAAACTGCTGCAAAACAAACACTAATTGAGATATGGATATCAAACCTCACGCGAACATAAAAAATGTTGTACAAATCCAGGCAAAAATGTTTAGCGATTCGGTTTGCGCGCGGTATAAATGCCAGGTTAAATTTCTATAGCCTTATATTGGGCATAATACAAGATATCTTCACAAAATTATCTCTGATATAACGTAGTGTTCTGTCAGAAATGTTTGAAATAGACCACATTATTTTTATACTATATAAAGTAAGGTATATAATGGCTAGGGATAGTATTGGCTCCATGTTATCCTTTTTAGACATATGGAAATACTGTAATAAATGGAGGTGCTGTTTTAATTTCTTTAAGAACCGGAAGTCTTAATATTAGGTATATGGGGTCTAGCGGAAATATTGACCCGATTTTATCCATTTCTGAAAAATGGGTACAGTTTTATCAGATATATACTCTCTCTGAATTTTGATAATATATCTTACATATTGCCCGATATTTTCGGTAAAATGTCATCTATAGGAACTGAAAGCTTCGGTATGTGAGGACTTTAAATGTTATGGTCCGCTTTCAACAATATGTTAACTACTAATTTTGGTGGATGGTGGAGCAGAAGCTGAAATGTGTGTTTTCGTCTGAACAAGAGGGCTGATCCAATTGTGATCACTGTTGTAATAGTACAGCTCTCTACGACTAAATTTAGCCATGTCCGCACGTTCCATTTCCGGCTATTCTACAGTCGATTGATTAGTCGATACATGAGTAACAACAGCGATACTGCCTCCACAGTAAATCAGTACGGTGTTTTACAAGAGGGGAAAGTAGAAATCTTATTACATGTTAGCTTAGACCTAGGAATTTGGAAGAAAAAAAGTATGATTTCCGAAAACCGAACCGAAACATATGCGTAAATATACAAGGCTGCAACCTTGCTCCAAAGGATTTAAAATTGAAGTCCACCGTAGACAACATTGCAGCCGTATTTAATTGAAATTTTATGAGTTGGGATGTAGAAAAATACAAAATACGCTGCATTGTAACTAATAATGGACAAAACATGGTAAATTCTGCAGTTTATTTGGTTGAAAAATCTGGCGATTTGCCATGTTTTGTCCATTATTAGTTACAATATAGCGTATTTTGTATTTTTCTACATCCCAACTCCACAAAACTGTATCACACATTTGCAATGAATGCATATAGTATCTTTTTTGTTTATTTTTTCGAAATGTTCCCAAAATTTTGATATGGGCGTCATTTTCTTAAAAAGTGTAAGCCTTTGTGTGCAAAATTTGCAACGAGTAAATACTTGTACAATGTACTCGATACCTACCAAGTATTTGTGCACACGTATCAAAGTACAAGAATACTCGGTTTTAGTAAAAGATATCGAGTATTTACTTTGAAATACTGGTATCGGAACATCCCAAGAACATCCCAGCTCCCAAAGCTTCAGGCGGGGTACTATCGTTATATTTGGCTTAGCTTGATGGGACGCAATTGCTCTTTAAATTAAGAGTTTAGCCGTATGGGAGCAGATAATAGTAGATAATTCCTTGAGAATCCACCAAGATCAATGCAAAATATTCCTGATCGCTAACCCTGGCTTGGCCACCGTTTGCGTCGGCACACCGCGATCCAACCATAACAATTTTCGCTCGAAATTGACATACCTAAGTGACCCAATTTTATTCACAATCCGCTTCTGAAATGTATCAATTTTGTTGCGATTGCAACAATTCTCTCCATGAAGTTTTTCTTTGCCTTAGCCACTTCCTCGTCATTGAGTGGTCTTGTTAAACCCCTCTTCGATATCAAAGCAGGCTTATTGTACCACTTCCCTGTTCATAGAGGCATCCTCGATTTTTGGAAACAAACAATACTGCGCAGTGTTCGTAGATCTACCAGTTCAGTACGCATGTTGGTTTAGATGTAATGGATTTTGTTCCAGGGCAGTTCTATAAAAAGAAGGAAGACTAATCTAATCAGCTTGTGGGATTTTGTCAGTAGGTAGACCTTTCATGCCACTTTAGGTATGGAGAACTATTGCAGTTTTCAACTTGTTTGAAATATAAGCTAGCGCTAAGCAGTCTCTCAGTAGATTTACTGACCATCACAGGCTGAAAAAATTTCCGTCTGCTCCTGCCGTCTTATATTTAGTAATAGCGCTGATTTCCCAATGTAAATGGTAAATATTTTCCCTCCCATCCTCCAATCCGTAGGTTATGTGGATAGTTAGTTCGATCATCAAGTAATCCTTTTTATTACTAAGTTTCGTTCTGCCTTCAATCTATTGTTATTTCCAGAACCTGTTGTTTTACTTTTTCTGTTGGAACCTCAGTCGACTCTCTGAGGAACTAGGACGATATTAAGATTACATCCCCCACTTTACTTATAGCTTGCACAAAATCGAGGTCTAGGGTAAAAGTTCTGAAAGTCAGAAAAACCATGTCTTTAAAGGCCAACGATTTCTGAATAAAGGATGCTCCCAAGTTATCTGGCATCTGAAGCACCAAACATTTCCATTGGTCAGTATGTGTCTTCCCAGCCTTGTTGACAATTAACAGTTGTCCCAATGTGATATAGACCTTTGAAAAATAAAGAGGGGGTTGCAACTTTTGAGCACCTCGTACATAATGGCTAGTAAGGAGGGAAAAAATCAGGTTCCATGGCCTCAATATAATCGTTTTTATGAAGTACCGTAATCCTGATACTTTTAAGGGCATCTCGGACATCGGACGGTGTCTCGGGTGGGACACTGCTTGGGCAACGAAATCGTCTCCGTTAAAGGTAGTACAAAAGCCCCAGCAGCGGATAACAAGTGAGTGGGAGTAGGCAGAAACCAGCCGACTGGTAATGTAGGTAGGGATGACTTGTGATGTGGAATCGCAAGCACCAACAGAGGAGCCTCTGCTCGATTCAGAGGTGATTTCGT